AAAAAAAAGAATTTCAAATGCATCCAAAACCTACCATCGCGGCATTTTTGCGCAGTGATATTGTGGCGCACCGCACAAGTACGTCATAATTGAGGAATCGGGCGACTGTCGGCGAGTCATAATTAGTGCCACCTATAATTAGTATATAGGACGCCTTTACCGTATATTTTGAGGCAAACGGCTGAAGAATAGGATTTGCGTGAAAATTTCAACCAAGGAATTTATTGTCGAAAAGAGATAGCTGTTAATGGCGGTTTACCTTTTCAAAAAATCCAGCAGTGACCGGACTGGCACGTACGAAGAACGTTGATCCACAGATCCACCCGGGCATCAGCTTTCTATAGATTGGCACCTAAATTTACATATAAAACATTTCATATGAATATTTTCCCATATGCTTTCCTCCTTGCGAGACATTTCGTTCACTATACATAAATCACCGAAGAAACACCCGTGAACAAATGTGAGGTTTTATGAGATACGATGAGGCTTAGAGCGACTTCCGAACCAGTTTAGTTGAAGAGACAAGAGGCAGCATGCAAATACCAACAGATTAGCTTTACATAAACTTCGTTTATTAGAAATGCAATCATTACGAAGGATGGATGCGCAGGCCACAAAAACGTCTAAAAGATTGATGAAATAACGGAAAGATCTTTCAAGATGGATTCAAAGGATATACTTAGTATGAGTGATTTTTCAGGATGTTTGCTTGATAATAATATTACCTGATCATTACCAACAGTATCAAATATTAGCAGTGAATCTGGATAATGTTGTTCTACATCCATCGAGACAAAATTTTCCGTCCAAATAGAATCCTAAATTGTCCTCAAGTTTTTAATAGACAAAAAGTAAACGAAATAAAAGTCACTTCGGGAGCCCTTTATATGTACTGCACAAACTTCTACAGCAAGTTCCTTCAAAAATGTCACCTGTTGCATTGACCAAAAACTTATGCCTCTTCTCGACAAAATCGAAGCAATATGTGATCGCATCATTAAAACCAGCTGATAGATGACATACCGGTGATTTTCAAGATCTTCTGGCACCGCATTCTTTAAAGGGTACAATAATTAAGAAACTGAACAACAAATACGAAATGTGCTGAAAAGAAGCAAAGAATGCACATCACATGTAGATAGGAATAGAATATCTACGATGATGTGTACTCGTGAGACCACAATCGAAATCATGATAAAATAACCTACCCTAACTACAGAAAAGTCGAGAGTCACAGTTGGAATGTATGGATGAATCGTGCTGAACTCTCGTTCCGTTTCAGCATCAAATGAGACCACGGCTAACCGTCTGTACCGCAAAAGTATAATGGAAATTGGTCATTAAAGTTGCAATAACCAAAGCAGCATGTACTCACTCTATAGAATTAGGCATGTACTTCAAGTTGCAAATGTGATTCAAAGTGATTTCAAGGAAGCCTTTGTCCAACTGGAAGAAAAGGTCAATTAGTTTTCAAAATGATGCAAAAACAACAAACTATGAGCATTTAATAAAAGCACACACATAAAGTAGATAGGGAGGATCTTTCCTTTTTGCTAATATGTTAGTAAATTCCGTGAAGCGCACATCCTTTTCGATGACTTCACGAGGGAGCTGGAAACACATTTTCAGAATAAATAGGAGTTTGTTAAAAGTCTTTAAAAATGGAAAAAAA